TTAAAAAGAAGTTGGAGGATTATAGGAAAATTAAATTATCATGGTTTGGCAGAATAGCAATGATTAAAATGAAGATTTTATCTAGAATCAATTTTTTATTTAGAATGTTACCAATTAAGGTATCAGAGATAGAGATGAAGAGTTGGCAAACCATGATGAATATTTTTTGTAATGGGGACAAGAAAGCAAGAGTGAATAAAAATAGATGGTATAAGTCTCAAAAAGTTGGAGGACTAGGGTTTCCGAATTCAAGACTTTACTATATAGCTAATCAAATTAGATATATTATAGATGGTATGGTAGGACAAGGAGAGTTGAACTGGTTAGAGATGGAAATGCAAGAAGTGGAATGGAAATTGGAAAATGTATTCTTTAATAAACTAACTAAGAAATGACTGGACGGGGTTGAGAACCCCTTTTTAAAAATTATTTTAAGGATTTGGGCAAAATATAAAGAGAAATTAATGCCAGCTGTTTCCCCATTGACCCTAGTGGTGATGATGGAAAAATTCCCTGCAAATTTAAAGAAGGAATTGGAAAAGGAATTAAGGGAGAAGAAAATATTTCGAATAAAGGATTGGGTGAAAGAAATGAATAGTAAAGATAGAATAAGAGAGGTGTTAAGGGGAAGAAAGATATCGTGGCTTAACTGAATACAATTAGAGAAGTGGATTAGGGAGTGGATAAATGAAAATAAAGAATGTGGAGGTTACACAAGATTTGAAAAGATGATTTTAGAAAGAGAAGACAAAGAAGACAATATAGTTCTTAAAGGTGAAAAAAGTGAAATTTATAAGATATTATTAGAAATTGAAGATCAGCAAGATTATCTCAAATCAGTATCGGACTATGATTTAATACAACACATAAGTAATCAGAGTTGGGGTAAGATATGGGATATGCGTATTTTAAAAACTAAGTCGGTAAGGATAAAGGAAAATTATTTTAAATTGATCTGGAGATGGTATCTGACACCCGTAAGACTAAACCAGATAAATAGGAAATATTAAGTAACATGTTAGAGGGGATGTCAGGAGTCAGGTACTTACCTCCATACAGTATGCGCTGGAGTTGTAAACAGGTACAGAAATTCTGGCAACAGGTATTTAAAGAGATAAATGAAATAACTGGGATAAATTTGGAAGTATGTCCAGATGTAGCATTGTTATCAATATATGATAAGGTTAGATGCACTTAAGCTACTAAAGATTTAATTACAAATTTAATGACGGCGGCAAGATTAATGATAGCTAGAAAATGGAAAACACAATGTGATTATAGAATAGAGGAATGGTA